GCACTTCAGAATTCCTGCTCCGAGAGACTTTTCCTACCTGTTGGTAGGGGAATTAGGGCTGCGCACCTCTGAGAGCATCACTCGAGTTACGCTCTCATCACATCTCCATCTGTCCCAGCCCTGATTCGATTCACGCAAGGAAGTCGGGTATAATTTCCCTGCCGCCACCGAAGCTCTCTCCATTGGCTGTCAGTCGGATGGGAACGTGGCAGGCAGTGCCGCTCACCTGCTCCATCGCTGCGGCCGTACAGCGCGGGGGGGAGCCGAGCGCTGCGCCGTGGGGCTCCGGGACCGCAGCATGAGCGCACGGCTCCGCGCAGCGCCGGGTTTTTTAGTTGCTGACTTTGAAATATATTCTCTGAAGTCACAAGTGCGATTTAGGGAGAAAATAGTAATTTGTAAATAAGCGAGGAGCTTAATTGGAGCTGAGTGTCCGCAATTTGCATATATATACGCGTGTGTCGGGTGCGGGGGAAGGATGCAGAGGTTCTCGAGCGTCGGTCATCTCTCGGCCGGAGCATCACTGCATCCCCGGAGGTAGCGCTCAGTTCTGAGAATGAAGAGGGAGCACCGTGAGGCGCTCCCTGGGGCCGGACCCTTCTGCTCGGCAGTGAATGTCCCCGCAGTCAGCGCGGGGCCCCGCGGAACAGTGTCAGCGCAAAGCGGCTGCGTGAGCCGCGCCGCGTGCGAACTGCCGGGCGCGGAGCCCGCTGGTACCGCGCTGGGACGCGCAGCCGCCGCTTCCCACTGCCTCGCTGAGATCCGCGCGTTCAGCAATTAGCCCAGGTAGCGACGTGCTGCCAGCGCTGTAACTTCTGAAAGTTGTTTTTAGAAGTTCCTTCGCTTCCATTCTTCCTTTTCCTTATTAGGATCATTATTTGTTACTAATGCCCCATCCATAAATACAACGTGCAGTAAGCACGGTGTGTAAGCAGCCCTGCCATGCATTCTGGACTTTTGCTGATATATGGTGTGCTGCTCAGAAGTGCACGCTATTGTTGGAGCTGTTTGTGCCGGGCGTGCTAATGCACTGTTTGATGGAGTGAATTAGCAGTCATAACAATCTGGCAGTCTGGCCATAGGAGTGTGCTCCAATTGATTTGTGTTATGGCTGGACTGGAAAATCTCGTGTTAGTTGTTTTTTGCCCTGGGGCATTGTTTGTACCAAACTCCACTTTTCATTTAATTTTCCAATAGATTCTGAAAGACCAAAAGGTTTGCGATCAACGTTTGCTGCACTTTATTATTATTCAGTTATTAAAAATACCCTATGAGTAATTTCAGGTTCCCCCAAACCTCGCTTTCAATTAGAGTAAACACAATTAGCGTGACGTCGTGCTCAGAATGGCAAATCTCCCTCTGTATCTGCTAAGCATGTTATCTGCTCGTCCTGTCACTGAAAGGAATCCAGTTTGTATTTGTGTTGGACGAGTCTATGCTAATTTGACTATAATGCAACAATTAGAAAAACAGCACTCTGGTCCCCAGTTTCTTACTGCTGGTACAACACTGCACACCAACCCTGACTGCATTCAGCAGTTTGCAGTGTTCAGCATATACCCTGGTGGAAGGGCAAAGAGGGACCTGCTCCCAGGCTCCCAGCATTTTCCTGAGTAACGCAGGGGGGATGTGTGAAGTCCCTCCCTCTTTCTCAGCCTTCTTCCAAATAACAGAGAGCTCCTGGAAGTAGGATGCTGCCTGCAAACCCAGGGAATGACAGCTGAACAGAACTTACCTTCTTACAGTGCCTGCTCCAGTCTGAGCCTCCTGCTCAGCAGTCGCTTGCCAGAGTTGTAATGCAGCACGACTAAACCTAAAGCGTGACTCTACTGATCATGCAGAAAGCCTTCTGAAACGATGGAGTTTCTTCTCTTTGGAAACTGGGGAACAAAATAGGTCACTAAAAAGCATAAGACAAGACACAAGAGAGAAACGTATTTTTTGGAAGATTGTGGTCAAAAGAATTGCAGGAAAAAATACTGTACATGAAGTTAATGTGATGATGCACAATTCATCCCCACCATGTGCCTGTCTGCTGTGCATCCCCCCATCCATTCCTTCACATTCACTCAGCACACATGTATCTCTCTCTCTCTTTTTTTTTTTTTTCCTTTTTCCCTGAATGAATTAAAATCTTTAATTATCAATAATAACAGAAGAAAGAGGAGGTAGTGGTGTGCTGCCCGACCTCCTGTCAGTCAGGTACTCAGATTCCTTGAAACGCAACAACTACAATGCATTTTCTAATTTCATTTCACCCTTTACAGCTGCCCTCAAAATTGTAATTTAATACAATAGTGAACCCTGTATCAGTCTTTTTTTTTTTTTTTGAGTAATAAATTACAATCATTGTCAATACATCTTACTGCTTTAACATACATTTTATTATACTGAAATTGTCAAAAGAAAAAAAGAGACAGAGAAGCAGAGCGAATCCCTGCCCTGAACAGTGCTATGCGCAGAGCAGAAACCCAGCTTCAAACAATATTCCAGGAAAGAAATTAAAGACTTCTTAATTAGTGCAGCAATTAAGCTTTCTTGGTCGCATTTTAATCAGCCCAGGCCCTATCAAAGGACAAACAGAACGATTTGCAGGTCTTTGAATTTTAAACAGTCTTATTGATTTCAGCACCGTAAGTCTTCGCATGACACAGGGAGAATTTTCAAATATCAGTTACAGTCACTGGAGTTTTGCTGATACCGACTCAGGGCAACAAAGAAAACACCCAACAATATCACTGCAGGAAGGGGCAGCAAGGAATGGAAACACAACCTAGAAAAAGTTCACAACCAGCTGTCTCAGGGTGTGTTGGTGTGTCTGCGTGTTAGAACAAACCCAGCTGTTTGGGAACACTTACCGAGCTGGAAGTTTCCAGGAGCTTCAAGCCCTTCCATAAATCTCCTTATTTCTGGGTTTCTAATCCCATTGTTCCATTTAAAAGAGGAAGGTTAACTCAAACCTGTGGTGGTAAACCCTTTCAAACTACATTTTCTTCATAACGAACCACGATGAAGGTAAGTCCGTGAGGGCATACAGTGAGAAAACAAGAAGGTCCCATTTGCAGCACCTTGCAGAAAGGCAGGCCATACACAACACAACAGGTTTTCTCATTAAGGGTTCAGTTGCTCTCCGGGTGTCAATATCCTGCTCCTGGCTCTATCTTGGTTTTCAAAGAGCTCATTCAGTTTTCACAACAAGAGAAGGTGAGCAGGAAAGGGGTACTGAGGCAAAGAAAGCACGTATAGAGCTGTTTTGCTACAAGTGAGTAAAGACGGTGCATTTTACGTTTTTCAGTGTATTCCAGTTTTTATGTCAACTTCAGGTGCTGCCTCTGGGACTGAGGTTGCGTGAACTTATCCAGGAGAACAGGCTGGGAACTGTGTGCTGGAGGATGTTCTGCACCACCATGGGTGCACAAGATCTCAAAACGAAAGACACAGTGTGTTTCCTTGGCTGTATTTGCCAGTTTAAAAGCCTTTGGTGTAGGATATCTGAAATTTCACAGTTGGATGAACCCTTCCTGGTACCAAACCACAAACGCTTTTCCATTACAGCTGGAGCACAATGAGCACGAGATCATATGAGAATCGCATGGAAATTCCCTGCGTGGAATTACTACAGTGAGATTATCCACTCAGAAGATGTGTCATCCTGTGAGTCATATCGCACATAATAACACATTTAGAGAAGCTACAGCAGCTATGGGCACATACATGCATCACAATTAAGTGCATAACTCGTACTTCTGAAACTGAAAGCCTCATACAGACATTAGCCCAACTTCTGCACGTGCCCAACGGCACGAAAAGCCATTTCTTCACCCCTTCGAACAGTAAAGTGTCCTGGAGAGGAGCAGCACAAGCCGGTGGTCCGCCGGACCGACCGAAACACCCCACGTTGCTTCTCAGCTCCGTCCCGAGCTACGGGCCCGGCCCTCAGAGCCACGCAGACCCCGCGCGCATCCCGCGGGCCGCACCACTGCGCATGTGTGCCCGGCGCCGCGCCCGGCTCCGCGCGCTGTACCTGGCGGCCCCGCCACCTGTGGCGCGACGCCCGCCCTCCGGAGCGACTCCGGCGCCCGCCCCGTACACAAAGGGGCCCGGAGCTGCCCTGCTCCCGCCCCGCCGGGAGGGGGCGCTCCGCTCTCGGGGGAACGACGGCGGCCACAACGCCGAGCCCGCTGCAGCGCTGCTCCCGCCCGCCCGCCCGCCGCCCCGAGCGCGGCGCGCTGTTGGGAGCGGAGCCGCTCGCGCTTCTCCGCAGAGCGCTGACAAGCGGCTGCCGACACGGGCTGCAGAAATTACATCCCGTCTGCGGCGGGGTGAAACCTGAAACATGTCATCTAACGGTTCCGAAGGGCTGGGGGGAGAGAGGGGGGGGGGGGGGGGGGGGGGGGGGGCTGGAGAGACACCGCTCCCCGCGCCCCCGCTCCGGGCTCCTGGTTGGGTAATTCGGGTTAATGCCGCGAGCGAGCCCTGCGCCGCTTCAAAGGGTATTTCAAGTTGCCGGAGCTCCGCCCCCCGCGCCGTGTGACAACAACAACTCGTCCGAAGCGGGCGGCAGCGGCGGCGGCACTTCCCGGCTCCTTTTCTCTCTGTCATTCCCCTCTCAATCTTTGATCAATGTACTCGCCGGAGAGAGCCCGGGTCCTCCACACCTCCTCCTTCTCCCGGTCGCCCTCGCCGCGGTGCTAGCGCGGGGCCGCAGGCAGGAGCTGCCCTCCCCCTCCCCTCGCCCCGGCCCCGCCGCCCGGAGCGGACTTCTCTCCTCCTCCTCCTCCTCCTCCTCCTCCGGCCCCGCTCGCGGGACACTTTGTGCGTTCGGCGCTCACTCCGTCCCTGCTCTGCTCTCCCGCTGCCGCAGCACCTGAGCGGGGCTGTCCCCCTTTCTCTTCCCCCTCCTCCTCCCTTCTCCTCTC